CCCCCCCCAGTTGTTATTGAGTACCATCAAGTCAATTTTGACTCATAGCAACCCTATGATAAGTTCTGTTCAAATCTACCAGTTACTCCACAGGAGAAAGCTGAGGTTTCCTGCTCCCATATAAAGATTTATAGCCTCGGAAATGCTATACAAGGTCACTGTGAGTCAGAACCTAACAACAAGCTAGCATTCAGCCAGCGGCAGTGAACAAGCTCTCTGGGTGTGGGAGGGCCTGGCACCCCCACTTCTGCCTGGGGCCCTTGGCACTTGGAGAGATTCCTGCCTTCTCCTGGCTCTGAGGAGAACGATGCCTGGAGCCTGGGCATTTGCTCATGGCCCAGTCTTGGACTCCAGGGGATGTTCAGGACAAGGGGACAGCCTTGCCCAACGTGAAACTGTAGGCATTGCCCCAGCCTCCGTAACAGCTGAAGGTGCACCCACCCCAGCATCTCCCGTGAGTCCCCACTTCTGCCTTCCCTGTTCAGACGCTCCCTTGGCTCTGAGGTCCTCGCTGCTCGTTCCACGCGCTTCTCACCTTCCTGCAGGTGTTGGCGCTATTGGTCCTTGTCCTCCCTGCACCTGGCACACAGTGGGCACTCTATATATCTTTGTTGAATGGACAAGCAGTCCCATTGCCTACCAGCACTGTGTTTGGGAGCCATGAAACCATGCCAACTCTTGTCCCATCTATCCAAGGGGTGGGTGCCATCTGCCCCCGGGGTTCCTTTTGGGTCCTGTTGGGACTCCCCCCCAGGCCCAAGGGGGTCTTTTCTGTTTAAAATCCCCATAGTAGTCCCCTGCCGGGCTCCACTTAGGAGAGTGGGTTATCTGGTGGGCAACCATCTTATCTGGGACTTGCAGGCTAAAAGGGAGCCTCCTCCCAGACTCTGGGGGGCCCCCGCAGAGTAGTTGGCACTTGAGTAAGACAGCCTCTTGGTAGGGACGTTAGGGGCTTCAACTGCCATTCTGGAGTGTGGATACTACCACGAAGCGCAAGGGTCCCCGGGAGCAGCCCAGTGTGAGTTTCAGCGTGGTCATGTTAGGGAGCTTCTCCATGGACCCCAAGCTCTAGGGGAGCAGGGCCACATCTCCCTGGCCAGCTGGCCAGCCCAGGAGAGAAGGTCAGGCAGCTGCCTCCACCTGCTTCTCCTGGGTCGTGTGCCAGGAGCCCCCTGCTGCAGAGCTTCCTCCATTTCCTCCCGTTCCCTCCCACTTAAGACAAGAGAACTCAGGGGAGCCAGACTCAGATCCCAGTAGTGGGGAGGCGGACTGGCGGCAAGCAGGTAAGCAGAGAAGTAGGTTGGTTGACTGGCTTGTCTAAGCCTCAGGGCTAGCAGTTGGCACCAGGCCTGCCAGGTAGGGGGCCTCGCAGCTCCCTCTGCGCACCCCCAGATCTGGCCTGTGCAGGGCGGGCACAAAGACCCCAGTAAAGAATCCCAGGAGGTAAGCAGCTGGGCAGGGCATCCCGGAGTGGGGAGGTCACAACTGCCCGGCCCTTCAGTGATCTCGTGTGAGCTGGGGGCTCCTGGAGGTGTCCTGGTACCCTCTCCCCACATGTGTTAATCAGAGGCAAGTAGGGGCAGGTGGTTGGATCCCTGGTGGGGCGGAACACTGGCCGGGGAGCACCAGGTCAGGGTCTGTGAGGCAAGTGACTAGGTGACCAGTGTGTGTGTGTGTCTGTGTCCGAACATCCATGAGCATATTATGACCGAGGAGGCACAAGTCAGTCTTGGCCATCTGTCTCCTGTTTACTCCGCTCGGTGCTTGTGAGGGTGGGGGTGGTGTGGTACACTGGGCAGGCAGCAGCGGTGGGGAGCTATTCCACACCCAGCTCAGTGGGAGCAGGTTTGTGAGTCTGGTCAGACCGCCTTTCCTTGGTCCGGGACTGCCTTCCCATCGGGCTGAGCTCCATGTGAACCCACTAAGGTTTGTGGACAGAGGGACATAATGACATGCTGATCTCTGTTCACAGCTGACCCCTAGATGTGGGGTTTTATATATAAAAAAGCCCTCCTACCCACAGGCCCTTACGGTGGTCAGAGGGTGCCCGTGAATCAGAGACGCTGTGGTTCCACAGCCTGGAGAATGGACTTGCAGACACCAGGGCCTACCACCCAAGCCTTGGTTTCCTCACCTGAAATTGGGGCAGTCAGAGCCCTTGCCTCCCAGGGCTGAGGGTTAATGAGATCAGACCTGGACCAGGGTAGTTACATTGGCTGTGCTTGCTGTATTGCCCCCTGTTGTCGGGGCTGGAAGGGGGCGGAACACACCGGGATGGGGCTTGTTGTCCCTTTACGAACTCTGTCTGTAAACATGTGGTGGCTGTTGTAGGGGTGCCCAGTCTGGAGTGTGTTATTACTTGTTGACTGTGATCCCCTGCCGGAAGCTGGCCCACCAGCCAGTAGGCTGCTGACACATGGAGTTGGAAGAAGGTCCATGTGAGGGCTGAGGCCAGCTTCACGTTGGCATTCA